GATCTTTGCATCTTCGGAAGGAAGAGAAAACTTGAGGGGGAAAAAAGGCCTCGGGACAAAAATCCACGGAAACACCACGGGGATCCAAGAGACGTCGATGGCATGCTGCTTCCCCCTCCAAGTTCCGACCCCAGGCCTTGCCAACCCGAGAGTTGTTCTTGCTGTTTTTGATGAGGCAGTTCTCAAACTTCAGGTCACCTGGGAGACAAGACCCAAGTCCTCCGAAAAACGGTTGGAATCTAACCCTGCGCCTGTGAATAGCAAAAACATCTGAGCCTTTGCCATTCACTAGGGGCGCTTCCCCATTCACTGCAACAGTGGATGCCGGTCAATTGAAGTTTCGAATAGAGCTTTGTCAGCTGCCGGAACCCGTGGCAGTTGCACGGAACGCGGTGGCCACGGGACCGCCGGAACGCGATGGCGCAGAAGCTTCAGCGGAGCGAGGTGGATTCCGTGCGGATCCCTGGGGGGATTGGACGCTTCAGCTGTTGGATGAGAGCCTGAAGAGCTGCAGCTTTCTACAGACCCTATTTGGCTTCTATGGGAACCTCTGCTTTTCGCTTCTTCCTCTAGAAAATCTCTACTTGTGGATCCGTTCCTCCAGCAATCTCCGTCTACTTTTTGACATTTGTCTCTAAAAATATGCGTTTTTTTCGAGACTTTCCTCTAAACATGTTAACACGTTCACACGTTCAAAGCACAATGTAAGGATGCTCAAACACAAGCATCGAAAAAGCCAGAGATTTCTAGAGAAAAGTGTAAAAGAATAGAGATGTCTGGAGTCTTGGAGAAATGTATCAATATACGCACTGAAAGTATCAAAAAGTAGAAATATCAACAAGGTGACCAGGTGTTGAAAAGTAAAGACTTCACCACTTCACCACGGCACAAATCACCACACTGCTCTTCACCACGCCTAGTGCCTCTCACCGCACAACATCTCACAAAGGATTCGCCGTCCCGGACGGCTCGTTCACTCGGTGCGCACGCCAAGGCTCGATGGGCCACACCATGGTCATGGCAATAGGCCAATGCCATGGTCACATCCCGTATCAACAGCTTCACCTCCTGCCGGGTCTGTTTTGATTGAAAAAAGAACGCCGCCTAGGTCCTGCATTCGGTGCCCACGCGCCCACGTCTCCGGACGTTGATTTGAAAATGTTGATCCAATTTTGATCTACATGTATTAATGGAGATGAGAGGAGGGAAATTTGTTCGGTAGTTGCTCGCACTACGACTAGGGCACAAGCACAAATGTTGATCTAGTAGGGCTTTTGGCCAGTTTCACGGTGAAGCACTCTTTAAGAATGCCAAGGCCAAAGCTATGTCAGTCTATGTTCACAACACTGATGGTGCAAGGTACCTGGGGGTCATCAATGCCATGGTTCAGTTCGGAGAAATCTCCACCATCGCAAAGCTCTGTGACCATGAACAAGGCATTCTCCTCCGAGACAAGTGCGATGCTGAGTTGCTTAATGTTCTGGTAACAGCACCACAGCCTATGGTTCTATGCATGCTGATCTACTACCGGGTCCGACTTGGACACGTTCCTGCCGTGCTGTTCATGCTCTGATTCATGTCAGATCTCCCATGCCTGGTCTAGTCTAATTCAAATGTGTTTGAAACTCTCTCAGCTGCTAACCGACACGTGTCGCATCTCAAACCCAGATTTCTCCTGCTCAAAGTGTTCCTCGCTCAAAAAATCTGCACAAGCCACGACAAACTGCTGCTTTGGGTGTCTCACGGTGAAGCACCACATCCGTTCTTTGTGACGTTTCACAGCAACGTCTTCGCTTCAACCAAGCGGCGTAAAACTTGACGACATGCGGATGATGCAAGTGAATCATGGCTTCCAGCTCAGCATAAACCTGGGACTGCTATCACAGAACCACTACAGCATGCTTGTCATTCGAAGATCTGTGGGCAACAATCCGCTCCAGCGCAAGTCAATCATTACTGCATTGATGTTGTCCTTCAATGTCCTTCATGACTTTCCCTTCAAAAAAGGAGGTCCGAAAATGTGGGTTCGGTATTTGGTAAGGACGGCACTCCAAGATGTAACAAAAAAGGCTGCGACACAAGTATGCCATGGCTGGGGGGAGCTCATGCTGGCTCATGGCAGTGGTGACTTGGTTTTGTTGGATCGATCGATCCGCGGAGGTGCAAACAAGGCATTCTGATTTTCTCAACTCACTCAACTCCACTGCATCTCATTCCAGTTTCTACGTTCCCTGCACTGCATCGAAAAAGCGTTATGTGTTTTGAACGGATCGAAAAACCGTTGACACATCGACCAGTTCCACACATTGAACCTCCCGCCGGAACCCACCCTCACCCCATGGGGTGTCCGGCGAAGGCCATATCATCCGCCTCGGCGGCGCGAAGGTGGCACGAAAGAGGAAGCACTGGGGCCCAAATTGGGAATAGGCTGAAAAGGCCACCTTGGCCCTTCATGAAGCTCCGGACCCAAGTCTGGAACTGCGAAAGGATTTGAGCTGCAAGAAAAACCAACCTTTCACTGCTCTGGTGAGCTGGACCTGTGCGGAGGCTTTCCAGTCACGCCATACCATTGTCGCCAAGGATCAACATCTGACAGGGGAAGCTTCCTTGGAGGCATGGATGCTTTCGACCCGTCTTTTCTCAAGACAGACCATCTTTCTTCAGCTTTTCACCCAACGAACGCCCGACAGCAACGCAGCAACGTGTGACACCGAAACGTTTTCCACACCGAGACCGACGCGCTCGCTTCTTGCGCACTCCAGCGGCTTGATGGCTCGCCATTCGCCCGTCAGCTTGCATTGCGCTTTGAAGACGGCGCCAAACGCGCCACTACCGAGCTTTTGCAGGTTGCAGTAGGACTTCCTGAGGGGAAGAAGAAGGGCACAGCATGATCGTTAGATTCCCTGACCCTTGGAAGCTCCAAAGAAAAGATCTCATATGGTGCGGCACGAGCCATGGATGATAGAAGCCAAGAGCGCAGACAAGACGTAGATGTTGAGCCAAGCATCATCATACACCCTCAGCGACTCACTCTTGAGCAAATAGCAATAGAAATGGCAGCTAACAACTTCCTATGTCGTGTCTTCTACGTAGTGTCTTCTTGCTCTTCCAAAACTGACAAGCGGCAGCGAAGTCTGCACAGCAACCATTTGAAGGCTCTCTCTCTCTCTCTCTCTTATATATTATTTGCATGCCAGTGTCTATTGGGATCCGAGACGAAGAGAAGGTTCTTGATGTCCACAGTGCTGCCACTCAGGCGGTTGTATAAGGTGTGTGTGGCCTCGAGACCGTGCGTGCGGCCCAGCATGAAAACTGCCCAGCATGTCCACAGTGAGAAAACATGAGAAAACCTCTGCGGACAAAAAAGCACCCTTTGAAGCAATCATAGCTCTTCATAAGATCTGCCAGAGCTAGTTTGGACGACGGTATTTCCTGGACCCTCGACTCCTGTGCAACTCATCTGTCCAAGTGTCCAATCGTTCCTTCAGGACGTTAGTCACATCTTTTCGAGTTCTCAGCCAATATGGCCTGTAGGCCTCAGGTACGGTATCACACGCAAGGAATGAGGTCAAAGATTGTGTTTAGCTGCACAGCGTCTCTTCCGTCATCTATCAAGGATTCCGTAGCACAACTTAACCGGCTTGACCCTGGAGAAGAATGTTCATAAAGCATATACCGGCAACATCTTGCAAGCACCTCACCAGTACCAACAACCACGGGCTTCTTGAAGCATGGACTTCCAAAAGTGGCATCTTTCCAGAACACCAAGCAGCAGGAGGCCAGCATCGAAGGAGGGCAGAAACTGCTTGAGAGATACCTTGTTACAGCAGCCAAGTGAAATACTCGAAAACCCGCAGTCTTCATTTGTTTGTGATTTTTTGGGGTTCAATCATTTCAATCAGGTCAATGTCACACCAAGCTACACTCTGCGTGCTTAGACTGAGACTCATAGCTGGCCGGCATTGCGCCGCAGGCTTTCGCCAATAGCTTATGATCAGCTCAGGGGTACAGAAATGCTGCAGGTGATGACAGTAGCTAGCAAATGAGGACTGCATTTGTCTAGATCTCTGGGTCACTTGTAGATGTGGTTTGTAGGGCACTGCAGAGCCGAAACTGCACCAAACAAGACTCTTTTCTGCGATCCACCGGGAGGTGTGTTTTGTCATGCCCACAGCTTATCTTCCTTGAGCAGATTTTGGAGATCACGTAGTCATTCACCCCAAGGCCTTTTGGACCTGCTATCGGCACGGGAAGCCTTTTCTTGGCCAATCGTGGAGGGGAAGCCTTTGGCTCTCCCGCTCGCGGTTTCGGCGCTGGACATGTGTTGAGTTCGAACCGGCCAAAAGTCACCTCTCACAGGTACAAGTTTGCTGGTAAGTGTGCTGGTCTGTTGAATCACATGGAATCTGTTGGGCCTTTTGAGGCCCATTGGCATATGGTCACCCCTATTTTTGGCCGGACTCGAACTGGAGAGCATGCACCACCTTTCAACTTCAGGCTGCGCGTTCTGGAGGTTGGTCCTCCTACACACTAAGAGGGTCCTGTACCATTGAAATACCTCTGGATGTTGAAGTATCTACGCCTTCCCTCAAAAATCCTGGCACCAGCCCCAAATCATCCAAAAGGGACTTGGAGAGTGGTGCCAAGAATCCTAAGGGGAGCGGCGTTCTGACGGCTTCAACGGCGCAGCCCTGTGAAATCCATCGCTTCTTCAAAGCCGAAGGATTTTCTCACAAGAAGGCATGCTGGTATAGAACCAAGCCCCTAAAATGCATAAGCATGCTGGCCAGCTCACAAAACCCAATCTCAGCACAAGCAGTGCCAAAAAACAGAATTGAGTATGAAAATATTGCTGACCCATGTGCTCTTCGCGAGCTGGCTCCAAGTGCAACTCCTGGTCGTTGCTTCACTGCCCCACCGTGGCCGTTCCAAAGCGCCCCACCGTGCCGCCGTTCCACCTCTCAGAGGCGGTCAGAGCGCACACCTCAGCGACCGGCCGTACCCGGACACAGGGAACGACGGAGGCGGGCGCCGGTCAGGCGGATGCGACCGATGGGTGGAAAGAGCTGGCTGCCTCAAAGAGGCGAGCCAACTGGACTCCAACAAACCCTTGGGCCCAAGGGAAAGCTAGAATAAGCTGGGATCAGCTGGGGCACTTGATGAGCATCTTGTTCAAGACCTGTTTGAGCTCCGGTGTGCAATGGTCAAGTTGGCAATTGAGTTTCACGACTTTGGACCTTAGCTGGGACATCATCCTCGCGTCCACGCGAGCTTGTTGGAAGCTGAGCATGTTGGAAGCTCCAAAAAAAAAAGGTTTCTTCAAAATTGGAGAAAAAAACAAACAACAAGGAGCTGCTCAAGATCTCGAAAATCGCGGGTGTAGGCTCTTATTCGACCAAAGGGGGGCAAATTGCCAACAACTGCCATCTTTCGTTTAGGCGCTTTTCCTTCAACTGCTTCTTTGCCAAGGGATTTCGGCAGCCTTTTCTGAAAAGCTCATAGACCTCGGCAACAGAACTCCCTTGCACAATGCCGGACGTTCGAAAGAACAGCACCCCCATGTCCCATGTTTCTAAGTCTTCCATTGTTTCGAGGAGCCATGCCACATCCACGTGTCTTGGATAGAGTTCAGATGGATTTGGAGCGAATGATGCTCCGAGCAGGGTGAACGACACGTGTCAGAACCAAGACTCCGTTTTGGCTCGTTCGCTTGCAATGTGTGCTTGCCCGTACTCGATGGAAATGACCTGCGCACCACCCATGCCAAAGTTTAGGAGGAATTCGGCGGCATTTTCTTTGAAAGAACAGTTGCAGGCAAGCCACAAAGTACGGGTGCAATTTAAGAATATCCATCACCAAACGCATCTGTCGCATCCCGGCCTCCTGAAAACATGAAAGCATGAAAAAAAACGGAGAGAGTTCCAAATGAGACAATTGGTTAAACCAGAGCCACCGCAGAAGAGATGGAGGCGCCAAAAGGTACGTCCTGAAGAAGGGTGTTGTTGTTTTCGAAGGCCAAGGGCGTCCTCAGCTTTTCGCTTCGCCGTTGGACCCGAACGGGCGGAGGGTCCAAGGACTTAGGCCGAGGTGCTCCAAAAGCACTTGGAGTTCCTTCATCTTCTCCTTCATATTTTGCAACTCAGCCTTGCCACCAACAAGCAAGTCGTTCAAGCATCATACAGTCATACATCTCATACATGATGTATGGGATCTCACAAGTCCCATGTAGGTAGATGAGATACAAAGACTTAACCCCTTTGGAATGAGAATCCGCAAGCCTCCTGGGGTCCAAGATGCTTGAAATCCGTGTCAAGGCCCCCTCTGAGCACAACTCAGAATTTTGGTACCGCACCGAAACCAAATCTGCTTCTGGGCAGAATGGATGAGGTTTCCTCGGGCAAAAGTCAGACTCTGAGCACGAAAAGTGGCTTTGTTCACCCCATTGGGATCTCCGTCAGGTTCTGGCCTCCATCGACGCGTGTTTTCGGGTTGGAGAGGGAGTGGGTGCGAACATGTCATCGCGGAAGGAAACATGCAAAGAAGACCGAGAGGGAGGGACAGCCAAATCCCGAATCCATACTAATCCAAGAGGCCATGTATGGCAAAACCCATATCATCCGGTAAAGTAACTTGGTGGTCTTCGGCTTTAGATTGTGAGGTTGGTGACTCCACGGCCTCCACGTGTTTAGTTCTCCACCTCTTCAGGGAAGGTCCGGCGTCTTGCAGCGTGCTCCGGTACAAAAAAACCTTCCCACACCACATGTGTTGGCGAATCCTGGGCCATGTTGGCACTGGTTCAACTGTGCCTCGACTCGTCCCAAAGCACTTTGAGGTTTGAGACCGTCAGGGAAGTTCTCCTGGGCAAACAGCGAAAAAACACTCCGAGCTTGGCTCCTACGGGTCGGGGCGACCGAGGCACCACGACTCGCCACGGGGTGTTGCTTGCTGGTGTCATGTTTGTCCCAGGTTGCCCCCAAAAAATAAACATTGGCTGTGGTTATGCTTCGCGTTGCGTTGCTTGTGCTATTGTGGGCCATCTTTTGTGTTGTGTGTTGTGGCTATGCTTGGTGTTGTTGTCTGCCGTCATGTCAACTGATCGGAACACTGGGTGTTCCGCCGCCTGGACGGTTGACCGTCGGCCCACGAGCCGCGGGAGGTGCTGTGGAGATGTTTGGCGTTGCATGGTTTGTGTCATTGTTGTCTGTTGTCCTGTCTGTGCTCATGTCTGGGGTTGTCATTATGTGTTGTCAGTCTCATGGTGTGTCGTCAGTTGTGCTTGTCGTCGGGTGATGCGTTGAAGCAACTGTGGGCAGTGTGGAAGGTCTCTTGCATTGTTTGTCACACTACAAGTAGAGCTCGCTCCTGCGCCCACACATCCACTACAAGAGACATTCAATCCTATGCACAAGCACCCCCCAAAAAAAAGAATGCACGAATTGCAAGCCGGCCACGGTAGGACGATGGACCTTGCTCTACCGTTACACCCCTGGCGTGGCCACACTGCTTGGAAATTGCAAAAAAAAGTGAAAACACAAAAGGCGCACTGTCCATCCCGTCCCACGGCATGTCCTGGATGAGTTTCTGCAAATTGGACTCCAACAGTTCCAGGGTCGACGCTCCTTTGATGCTGCCAGCGGCCAAGTCGTTGGCTTCAACACCCGTCAACCAGGTGTAAAGAAATGCCCCAAACAAAAAAAGGACCAGATAACCCCACATGTTAAGCTTGTAAGAACTATCAACGAGAAGAAGAGGACTGATAAGAAAAAAGGACGGAAAGATACTGGACGATAAAAGTGAACGAGATGAGTGCTGTGTGGTAAGTGGTGTGTGATGAGTGGTGTGTGATGAGTGGTGTGAGATGAGTGGTGTGTGAAGAGTTGTAAACGATGAGTGGAGTGTGGTGAGTGGAGTGTGGTGAGCGGTGTGTGATGAGAGGGGGAGTTGTGTAAAATGAGTGGTGTGAGATGAGTGGTGTGTGATGAGTGGTGTGTGATGAGTGGTGTGAAATGAGTGGTGTGTGATGGGTGGTGAGAGGCGGTGTGTGAGATGAGCGGTGTTGAGTTGTGTAAGATGTGTGTGATGAGTGGTGCACGGAGCCTTCAGGAGGACTGGGTGGACGCGTGGTCGCCGCTGGCCCGCGGGTGCCTGTCGTGTAGATTTCGTGGCAGGCACAGCACTTGGTGAACCGAGCACAGACTTCGTGGCAGGCCCAGCACTTGGTGAACCTGCAGTGCAGATTTCGTGGCAGGCGCAGCACTTGGTGAACCTGGAGTGCAGATTTCGTGGCGGGCGAAGTACACAGAGCCTTGAGGAGGATTGGGTGGAGCGTGGTCGCCGCTAGCCCGCGGGTACCTGGCGTGTAGATTTCGCGGCAGGCAAAGCACTTGGAGTGCAGATTTCGTGGCAGGCCCAGCACTTGGTGAACCTGGAGTGCAGATTCCGTGGCACTCACAGTGCTGAATTTCATGGCAGGCGTAGTTCACAGAGCCTTCAGGAGGACCGGGTGGACGCGTGGTTGGCGCTGGGCCGCACGTGGCTTTCAGTATACACAGAGCAGGAGGAGCTGCAGGACGCATCACACACCACTAATCTCACACCACTCATCTTACACCACTCATCTTACTCCACTCATCACACACCACTCACCACACACCACTCACCACACACCACTCATCTTACACAACTCATCACACACCACTCATCTTACACCACTCATCTCACACCGCTCATCACACACCACTCGTCACACACCACGCATCACACACCACTCATCTCACACACCACCTCTCACCACTCATCACACACCACTCATCACACACCACTACTGCCACGAAATCTCCAATCGCTGTGCCTGCCACGAAGTCTGCACGACAGGCAGCCGCGGGCCAGCAGCGACCACGTGACCACGCGTCCACCCGGTTCTCCTGAAGGCTCTGCGCACTGCGCCTGCCACGAAATCTGCACTCCAGCTTCACCAAGTACTGTGCCTGCCACGAAATCAGCGGCGACCACGCGTCCACCCAGTCCTCCTGAAGGCTCTGTGCACTGTGCCTGCAACAAAATCTGCACGACAGGCAGCCGCCCGCCAGCGGCGACCACGCGTCCACCCAGTCCTCCTGAAGGCTCTGTGAGCTGTGCCTGCCACGAGAGCTACACGACAGGCAGCCGCGCCAGCGGCGACCACGCGTCCACCCGTTCCTCCTGAAGGCTCTGCGCACTGTGCCTGCCAGGAAATCTGCACTCCAGGTTCACAAAGTGCTGTGCCTGCCACGACATCTCCACGACAAGCAGCCGCAGGCCAGCGGCGACCACGTGTCCACCCAGTCCTCCTGAAGGCTCTGTGTACTGCGCCTGCCACGAAATCTGCACTCCAGGTTCACCAAGTGCAGCGCGAACATGTGATGAGTGGTGTAACATGAGTGGGGTATGATGCGTGGATGTGATGAGTTGTGTAAGATGAGTGGATGTGATGAGTTGTGTGAGATGAGTGGTGTGAGATGAGTTGTGTGAAATGAGTGGGGTAAGGTCAGTGGATGTGATGAGTTGTGTAAGATGAGCGGTGTATTATAAGTTGTGTGAGATGAGTGGTGTAAGATGCGTGGTGTAAGATCAGTTTTCTGAGATGAGTGGTGTAAGATGAGTTGTGTAAGATGAGTGGTGTAAGATGAGCGGTGTAAGATGGGTGGTGTAAGATGAGTGGTGTGTGATGAGTGGTCTAAGATGAGTGGTGTAAGATGAGTGGAGTAAGATGAGTGGTGTAGGATGAGTGGTGTCAAATGAGTGGTGTAAGATGAGTTGTGTGAGATGAGTGGTGTAAGATGAGTGGAGTAAGATGAGCGGATGGAGTAAGATAACGGTGTAAGATGAGTGGTGTAAGATGCGTGGAGTAAGATGAGCGGATGGAGTAAGATAGTGGTGTAAGATGAGTGGTGGAGGGGCGGCGGCGGAGGAGGACGGGGAGGAGGAGGAGGCGGATGCGGAGCGGCGGGCGCAAAGCGAAAAACAAGAACCCCACATAGCGATGTGGGGAACAACAAAAACAGAAAAGCTATACGACAGGGTGGCCCGAAATAAGGATGAAAATGATGTGCATGGTGATAATGAGAAGTGACAAAACATGAACAAAAAAAAGCACGACGGTTGTATCCTTTTCCGCTGGATGGAACTTTGCAGCGCACTGCAATAAAGTAATGTAATAGTAGCAATCAGTCGTAATAGTAGCAATTGTGGAAGCAGTGCCAGCACCAGTAGCAGTCCCGGTTCTGGTCCTAGTAGCAGAAAGCAGCACTCGTTGTTGTTTGTTTGTTTTTTGACCCCCTGCCCCCCTCCCGGGAACAACACAGCAAAAACACCAAAAAATGTACCAACCCAAGCTTAAGTGAAACAAGTCCAGCTACTTACGAAACCAGCACGCCCTCAAACCTTCAACCACATCCCTAGATAACCTTGCCCCCGAAACTTTCAGAGTTACAACATTTGACACTATGCTGGACGCTTGTTTCTTGTTCTACTAGCCGCAGCAGCAGCAGCAGCAGCACCAGCACCAGCACCAGCACCAGCACCAACACCAGCAGCGGCACCAGCAGCGGCACCAGCAGCGGCACCAGTACCAGCAGCGGCACCAGCAGCAGCACCAGGAGCACCAGCAGCGGCACCAGCAGCACCAGCAACAGCAACAGCAACAGCAACAGCAACAACAACAACAACAAGTCATCAAAAAGGTTACTCACCTCTGACATGCACAATCATGCAGGTCAACCGACCGGTTGCTATATACTTGAACCTTCATTCAGCCAAGTTTCGGCCTACGATATCACGTGCTGCCTCCAGGTGTGACATCTCGTGCAGTGCTGCACGCGCTGAGGCCAACATATCCTCCATACCTCCACATGCTAAAGCCAAGTCCGGCAATCTGGCCAACCGAGCACCACAGGCCTACCCCCTTCCCCATGAATGATACCACCGCAAAGAACTGGAAGCCACTGTGGCAAGTCAGGAATCCAAAGCTTTCGAGTCAATCTGCTTGACTATCTTCAGTTTCGACATCCAAAAGAAAGAACGCAAAGGGTTCAAAGGTTGGCAACACCTGGGCCTACGTGCTATCGTTCTAACCAGCCACCTCATTTCACTCACTCCCCCCATCCGGACCTATCCACTCCCCGCCTTCGATGGAGCTCTCTTTCTCAGCCCTCGCGAGCGCCGACCGCAAGGCATGGGAATCCGAAAGGCTGATCGCAGTGCGAATGTCTTTCTCAAAGACGGCACGCTTGTACCTTGGAGAAAATAGCTAGTATAGTCGTAACAAATATAGTCGTAACAAAGGGCATCGCTACTAGTAGCAAGGACGCTATTCGTAGCTCCTGGCATTGCTACTAGGAGCAAGAAGCTACTAGGAGCAAAGGGCATCGCTACTTGGGCCCGCGGACAGCCCAAACGGGCCCATGGATGGCGCAGACGGGTCAGGTGGCGGCGACCAGCGATGGGAGTCCAGATGATGGGACCGGCGCGCTGGTGGGGAGCGCCGGCCAGAAGTGCTTGGAACTTGGTAACCAAAAGCAATCGAGAGAGGGGAGAGGGGTCCGGCAGGGTGTTTCAACATTGAGGATAAAATAAATATATCACATATTGCATTGAGAACTGGACCAACTGGAACTGATCGGATTAAGATTCAGATGTGTCCGTCACTTCCGATCCACGATGCGCTCCATCTTGGCCAAGAAACGTACTGGATGCTTGACGCAAATCCTTGGACATCCTGACAGCTAGGCAGGGCAAAACTGGTGTCTCAAACCTGGTGTCTTTGTCTTTGCGCATGCACTTGCAAGAAACAAGACGAAGCAAAGCGTCCTGAGCTTTGCTGCTTCTTTCATCTTCAAGGGCATCTCTTGGAGAACCTGTGTGCTCCTTTTGGTCAAGGAGATTTTAATGTCGTCCCGCCTCAGCGAAGCTTCACGAAACCGACACGGGCCTTCTCCGCATGTGCACTTGCCCCATGCCTTACCCTACCGCTCCTCCTCTTGACTGCTGAAACCGGACAGTGCGCACGGTCCCACTGCTTCGCCCATCCAGCTGTCCGGTCCCTTCCAGGGGCCCAACACTTTGGCCTTCTGCTTGGCATCGAACAGCGTCTCCAATGCCTCAGAGACGACCCCAAGCTGTGCCCAGCGGAACCAAAGCCGTGCCGAGCTGTCATCTGTCGGCCAAGCGGCTTGAGTCCTCACCTCCAGGAAGAGTTTCTCAAGCGAGGTTCGCCGTCCCAATCTTTGATCCTGAGTTGCAACCAGCTTGGCCAGTCAAATGGCAGAAGTCCTCTATGTTCCCTCTTTTCCCAGCTTAACACCTACAGTAAGTTCCTGGCAATCCTGCTATCAAACAACCCCACCGCTGAGGTCTTTGGCTGCAACTTTCAATTGCCACTAACACCTTTCTTGGGAGAAAGAAATGCCCAAAGACTTAGGCTCTTCATATATAGCTTCAATAGACTAAAGCGACGCTTCTACTATACACCTTGCTGGCACGGCTCGCCCGGTTTGGTCCTTTCAATGGCCGCCTCCAATTGCTTCACGTTCTCGCGCCTAGCGATTCCAAGAATGAAGAATGTCCTGTGGCCCTTGACCCTCAGAACGGCCAAGCTCCACAGATTGCTGGCCTTCCCTCCCCCAGGCCTAGTGGCTCGAGTTAGCTGAGCGAGTTCCTTCAGGCGATCCTGGGCACTTTTCAAGGACACGGTGGTTATGACCAGTCAGCGCCGGAACCTGGGTCAGTAAATCTACACATCTTTTGAGGCAAGTGCCACACCCACCCAGCTACTCATTCGATTTGCTAGCATCATTGGGCCTCCGCTGTGGTGTCCTCTATGACCCCCACATCACCTTTTTTAGGTCTTCAGTGGTGCAGCGACGATGTACATCTTTGATCCTGATCGTTGAGAGAACTCATGCCGGGCATCATAGAAGTCGTCGTCGTATTTGCTCAAGGCGTCGTACAAGCTGTCCACGTTGAGGCCGCTTTGCAGAGCCAAAGGCAAAGCAGTCCTAAGATCAACACGAGTTCTTATATGCTGTTACTGTTGTAACTCTTTGTATGTCCGCACTGTCACTAGATGTGGGAGATCCTCTTGCAAATCTACTTAGAGATATGCTGACAATTTCCCTACACCATAACGCAAGTAGGCGCTATGTCCGCTATGCATTCACAATGGCATTTGCCATCAGTGGTCTCACTAGAAAATTATAGCTCCGAAACCTGCTTTCCTTCTATATATCATATATATATATATATATCGCATCATTGAATGTTTGGGTTTGGAGTGTGCTTGTCAAGGTCGCCCAATGGGCCTGTTTTCCAACTCCAAAGGGGGCCAACGGTTTTCACCTTCACCCTCCCTTTCCGTCCAAGTGTCTCCAGCAAATCTTTGCTCCCTTGACGGCGTGCAGCCAACATGGCCCAGCGAGCCACATTGAGGCGGCGGATTGGCCCATAGCCACGGTCAACTCTCCTTGGAAGCACCGCAACACAAGGCTCAAAACAGGTCCAAACAATCTTCACTGAAGAAAGTGCAACCATGGCATTGCCATGTCAAAGCTCTAAACCCACAGCTTCAACTGACCCTAATCTTCCATGTGCTCCGTCACTCTGCCATGCTCAAGAGCACCACACAGCTTCCTCCCCCTTCATTTCCTCCAGAAACACCCCCCATCCCACCGACTCCCTCCAGTCGATCCAACGAACAAAGCCGGCTGATTCATCACCTGCTTCCGGCTTGGAATGCCAGTTTACCTCTTCAGGCTTAGGGTAGCTCAAGCCAGCAAAAGGTCATGTGGACCAAGGCGCTGCAGCATCTCGCAGCGCTCCACGTCCAACTTCGCCTCCTCCGAGGCCCACAGCGCCCGCCGAAAGGCCGGTCCCGTCGCCTGGCGACGGTCAATGGGTCCGGCGCCGGTTCAACGGGAGGAACGGGGCACGGGGCGGTGTCCGTCCGTTCGGGCAGCACCGTAGCAGGAAGAGGATGTTTTTCCCCCACCTCTTCCAAGGCATACTTCAGGGCTTCAAAAGCTTTGCAGAGCTGATTGATGGTTTGCCTGAAGAGTCCGCATCTCAGTGACCAAGCTTCACAACCACAAAGCCTCTGGTCAAACGTTTTGCAGCCTTAAACCGTAAACCTATATATAAAGCTTCTGAAAACTTGATTCGGCCGTTCTTGGGCATTCCTCCAGACTCCCAGAAGCCAAGCAATCAAAGCCAAAGAAAGACCCTCTTTCACCCAAGCTGCACCAGTTCTTGCGCATCATCACGTTGGTCGGCACCACTGGTGGTGAGCCAAACTCGAAGATCCTCCAAACGCTCCAGGTCTTGATCCTCAACTACCTGGCATCCGCCGGGCACGTGACTCTCTCTCGCCCAGTGACTCGCATTTCCTAGGGTCGTAGAGACTGAGTCACTGGAATGTTCAGGATGTTCGTATCACATCAGAGGTCTTGTAACGACTCTTGTTCATATGTTCACTTCACCCTGCCTTCAGTGACCGACTGAATCGTCTCACTGGGCATCAAAAGGCTTCTTCTCCAAGCTAAGGCTATGGTGCGATCAACGCAAGCAAATAGGGAAACCACTCAGGCAATTGAAGTGTTTGGAAGGGGGAGTCAGGATGTTGGCCAGCACAACACACACATAGTCGCCAGACTGGTGCCGAGATGGATCATAAGGGATCAACAAAAAGGGTCGGGGCCGGACTCTGTCGGGAAGGCCTGCTCCAGGCGGTCCATGATCCTCGGAGTTTGCGGTGCTATTTTCCCAAGAATCCCTCGTCCCTCTGCGCGCAGCTGTCCAAGAGCTGACAGGAACACAGGCAGCGGAAGGAAAGGAAAGCTGCAGAAAGAAATGTTCTCAGCCAGCAACGTGCATGTCAAACAAGCTTCAGGTCTTGGAGTGTAGTGTATCATTAAGGCCAGGCACCCTAGCTGCCATTGATTCAAAGCTCGCCTGTGCAGCGCTTCGAGTTTCTTGGCCCGGCTCAGCTGCGCATCTTGCAACCTGCGTAGGGAGCACCCAAAATCATGCCAATTGTCCAGAAGTGTGTTGTCCCTTCGTCTCCAACAACCCCGGCCCCACCTGGGCAGCACACTCTCGGCAGCATCGATGGCATCCTCGATGTCCAGCCATCCTCAGAACAAACGGACGGCATCCAGGTCTTGAAAGCAGCTGAACCGGCTTTTCGATGCTTCTCTTTGGCACATTGTGTCCGTACCTGCTGGGATTAGCCCGCTTAGGATAGGATCTATTGGGCTCCATGGACCAATGGGGATTGTGCCAAAATGCGCTAGGTCCGCTAAGTATTATTACAGTAGATGGCCAAATCGAATTTCAAGCTGCGGCCGTGTTTCGACGCTCGTCAATGGGCTTCAGCTTGAGGCATTCTTTCAGTTTGCGGGTGGCGAAGCTCTCGAAAATGAAGGCTTCTCGGACCTTAAGCCTGGCACACACGTTGCCGACCTTGGTTGCCTGACCCTCCCAAAGCGACGGTGGGCCCACTACGACTCCGAAAGCATGCACAAGTGAAATGCCAAAATGAATCCAGCTAGCCGTGGCATTGACGCAAAATGCTGTGAGAGCACGTGTCTGAAGAACCAAACGCCCCTGTCTGCACAGGAAGCGCAGACAAATCCCGCGGAGCGGCGGCCCTTTCTCATCTACAGTCGCCAACCCATCAGATGTGGGCTGTCCAGCTTGGTAGGTAGGAGGACAATCTTGGCCCATCGCATGTTGAAAACATCAACCTCAGCACAAGAGCTCCGCACAAAGCCCGCCCACGGTGCCCCGCGCAGTGTTTCACTGCGCGCGGTGCCAAGCGCTCCTATTTTCTTTGCGCCGTGACGGCGCGCACGGCCCGGAAGTGGATCAAAGTAAGTCGATCTCAGGAGATTGGCCATGGAAGCTACTCTTCAGCTTCGCAATCTCCTCCTCCGCCTCCTTCAACCGCTCTTGAGCCCTGCGGAGCTCCAATCTTACTTGGGAGTTCTCCTCAAGCAAGATTCGAAATGGGGCCATTAAAGCAAACATTGGTCCGTGCAACAACCAAAGGAGCAAACAAAAGGCACAGCCTCCACGGCCCAGCCTCCTCCAAGTGCGATTTAGCATTCGACTCTTTGGAAATCTCCTCGCAAATGGCCCTCGGGTGTCAGAAGCTGAAACAAGTACTACTACAAACCACCACTCTTCACATCATAGGCTACCTTGTGAACAGCCCCACATGCCACCTGTAGGATCCTCTTGGGCTTAGACGTGTCATGACTTGTCCTGACTTGGACTTAGACATCTCCGCCCCCTTGTGCCATCCGAGGGGCGCAATCTTTGGGAAGCGACGGCGCACCGCCTGCAGCTCCTGGGGTTCAGCACCGGTGATCGTATCCACCAAAACCCCCAGCATCGCTCGGCGTAGGCTCCCCAAAATGTGTTGCTCATCTTGTCCTCGGTTTTCACGCACCATTCCACCGTTCCTCCCACCGTGGGAAGCTTCCAATGTGGTCGAGATTTTGAGATGTTTGGGTCGGCCTGTTTTGTTGGATTTCCCGATGCACGGAAGAAAACGCCACATACTATGCTCCGATGAACACATCACACCCATCTATAGAGGAAAACTGCCTTCGGGATCAAAGCACCACTTCCCTGTTAGTGAGTCAGAGGATAAGTGGATTTGCTAACAGGGGGTATAAACAAAGTATCCTGCCATGTATTGGCAAAGTATTGACATGTATTTACTGTATTGACAGCCGGGCTTCGAGTCTGCTCACTCTCTGAAGCATTGGTCGGGCTCTCTTTCGCAACTTCTTGAGAAGCTTCGGAACCTGAGCTTGGCAAATCGAAACAACACTAGAAAGCTACAGAAATGGCAACCTACCAATCAAATGTTATCAAATACTAGAGCGATGTCAATGAAGTTGGTAACATTCAAGTGGGACGTCTTCCATCTCAAACCAGCCTGGGGCAAAGGCTTGTGCCCACCAGCCCATGGAGAAGGTCAACAAAACAAAACTGCAAAGCTGCATGTGCCGATTGACCTTGAAATATTTAACATGCCACACAGCTTGCTTACCATACCTTGACATGTTCATACATGTTCCATGAGCTCTTTTGCAAACGTGTTCGAGGCATTCCAAAAATGCAGCCACTTGGAAATGTACCGAGCCCGACCCAAAACGAACAAACATCACGCAGACTGGTGCACAATCATCCGAGCCCCTTCCCGAGTCCCATCCCGGCGATCGAATATTCGGTCGGCCGTGCCCCCCAACGAAAGACAGCGCAACTGGCTCCCTGTTGGACTTGGTCTGCACGTTCCAATGATGCAGGTGCACTCTCGAGACTTGAATCACCTCAAATGAAGCATGAAAAGTACCCCTTTCGTCTCAGGCCCACGACACCAAGTACTAGGGGCTGTGAGATGTGGCTTCATTTGTAGGTTCGTTCAAAAGCGCGAACGGTCTGAAAACGGACGGCTTTGGGTCCGCTCTCAGGCACCTCCCTCCGTGGGTTCGGCAGTCCGGAGGAAGCTGGTGAATTTGTGCAAGTCCTGAAAACGCTGCTGCCCGTAGCTCGCTGCCATGGACTTCATCTGCTGTTGCCTCTCTTCTTTGCTCTGCTTCTGCTGTGCCATATGGGCATGAAACTCGGGGTTGTGATAGCCTCAAAGGTGCAGCACCGGGGGTCTTGTGCGGCGCTCTGGTGTTCGGCCGTGAAGAAAAGAACATGACAACAAAGGACTGGCTCAGTGAATTTAAGAAAGCTCATCTCAGCCCCATCCCAATCGGATTCAAAGGATCAGGTGAGGTGGTCCTCTCGGCCCAATGCAGGTGAATACCTGGTACCTCAGCCGGTGACCTATCCGGGAGACTTTAGAAACCGGCGAGTCTGCAGCCAGGCCGAATCCCTTTAAACCAGCTTGTGCAACTCACATCACACCGGATGAGATGTGTCTTCCACCAGGGTCACCCCGAACTTATGAAGGCAAGTCGCGGAACTTGAGCCGCAACTTGGGCGAGACTTTGTCCGCCAACAGGTTCACCAACGCATGTCCAAACATATCGCCAGGTGCGCAGACCTCCAAACTAGCATTGGAAGGTAGCAGCCCCACCCAGGTGTCCCACTCATGTGGTGGTTGCAGAAGGTGTTTGCTGATCACTGCCAGTGGCAGCACCATGTGGTACAGCAGGGAGGTGCCTTGCTGAAGTCTTTTTCTCACCAGGAGCTTCAAACTAATCTGCAAAGGACAATCCACCAGGTCAATGCCGGTGGCCTTCAATAAAGACGCACACTCAAAAAGTACGCAGCCCTCACTGGTGGCGAGTTCGGTGAAGAGCTCCTCCGCCTCGGGTACGTGTTTGGAGTCCACGATGGAGACGTTCACAAAGGTCTCACTGCTGTGATCGGGACTCACCGGCGAAGACATCCAGGCGGCGTCGGCGAAGAGCGCGCGGCGTCACCAGCGCGCGGCGAAGAGCGCGCGGCGTTTCACGCTCAGCTCGCCCACGAGGTCGAGCAAAAGACACTCATTGTGGACCAAGGGCGCGAGCCAACCCGCCCTGCTGATCGTTGCATCTACTTTCTAGTGGAGGTTTTAATAGGTTTGTAGTATAAAGTGTCCAATGGCTGGTTGCTCAGAGTTGAAGTATGCAGCCAAGCAAATGAGGAGAGGAGTGGAGAGCAACCCTATCGATATATACATATATATATATATGCATATATTAATATATATATATACATCTGTGTGTGGCCCAGTGTTATGTAGATCTCCATGTGACTAATTTTGCTGCACACAACAGCGCCCAAAAAGACTTCCCACTGGATGGCATCAGCTTCGAGTGAGAACAACATCCATGCATAAAGCCACCGCCCTGCGACAACCCAAGCAACTAGACTCAGAATCGAGGAGAAGTCGTCACAACAGTGAGCGAAACCCTGCCTTTCTAGAGGTAGACTTATAACCACTATATATGTGGAGACGTCTTCTAACAATGCCCGATGCTCAATTTCCGAGATTTGCCAATCATACACTCCCTACAATAGTCATGGAAGTGGATGGCATGGCCCCGAGTTCGGATGACCATGAAATCCGAATACCAAACAAGTGGTTTCCACTTCCATGATCTTCAGGGAGTGTATGTGCAAAAACCGGCCTCATCTGGACCACCTCAAGGTTCCGCTTGGCATCGTCCAAACCCTCCACGTCACGAGCGATATCCAGCTTGGCCTCAGACAAGCTCAGCTGGAGGGGTCAGCAGAGTGTTGGATGTTCCCAAAAGAAATGGTTGCAGGCCAAGCGTCCAAGTCATTTAGAATGCTGCTCTTTTCGAGAAAGTTTGCCTTAGAAAGGTCTAAGGACAGTCTATTAATTGCCCATGCCATGCTGGCCATGCTTGTCCAAACATGCCAAAAGCCAGGATGCGGTGGCACGAGCAGCTTCTAGATATTGCACGGCCCTTTCACACCGGAGAACCTCGCCGCCTTTGATCCTGACGGCACAGAAGCCGCTTCGGCACGAGATGCTGCGGAAACGAGTGCTTGGCCCACAACACGTCTCAAATTGGGACCCATGGCCCATGCAAACCCATGCCACCCCAACTTGCTCACCTCTTTGTTCTCCCGGATTCTCCCGTTGATTCGCATGGCATCCGGTCCACCGTTTTAACGAAAAAACACGCCGTCCACCGGTCACGGTTGAGAAGCGGTTTGAGGCGTTCCCGCGGCCCCGTTCTGCCTGTTCTGCAAGGAGGCCGAGGCCTGCAAGGACTTCTGCAGCGGCGAGCAGGGCACTGACTTGGACCGGAACTGGGTCGTGGGCTCCTCGGAGCCGAGGAGCCAGCGGTGGAACGGAGCCAAAGAACCTCCAAACCAAAGCAACGAGCAACGAGGATCCGAACGAGCATGCTCATTTCACCATGCGTCTGGGACTGCCACATCTTCACAGAATGTACAGTTACTCAGTCGTGCTCATCAGTACTCACCTCTATTTAGGTGCTTGCTCCACCTTCTCCTGCCAACTTCAGCCCCAAACAGCCATGCGGGCGCGATGAAGGCAGAACCGGAATTTGTCCAAGCATCACCCAAGCTCCATCCACCGGGGCTCCCGAGGGTCCCGGGAAGTCTGGGCGATCCTGAGTCACACATGCGAGTGGAAAGCGAAGTGTGCAGCGTTGTACAGGGCACGCCAGTGCTAGGACAATAGAAAAAGGATGCCATGCTGTGATTCTCTCTCTCTCTCTCTCTGTCTGCGCGCGTCAGAACAGCTGTAATGGATGGATTGTGCAATGTTAGTGGCAATGTCTTCATCAAGATGGATCACTGCTGTTCAAACTTTTAACTTACGCCCGAGCACTTAGGCAGTATGAACTCACCAAAACGGGCCCAAGGTAAGGGTAGTTTTCCCCTGGACTGGACATCCAACGGCTTACGGGTTCGCGAGGTCTGCAGCCTTGGCACCTTCCATGCTAAAAGAGCCGCCAGAACATCTAAAGCGGACTCTCTTTCGCAACGGGCTAGGAAGCTCGACAATTCTTGGATTACTATATAATGCATATGCGGTAGAACTGTCTAAGAAGTAGGGAAACTGCTTACAAGCCCCAGTGACTAGTGCTTGGGTCGTTTTCACTGCTAATGACATGGGTGTTGCCCGGGTCATGTTGCCCATCTTCCTGGAATCCTCGTTCCGCCCAAAGAGCCAAAAGGTTGAGTACACAAGTCACGTATGGTGCCTGTAGGTGAAGCATCAAACCCCAAAAAAGGACCCAGCCACTTTTCAGTGGCGAACTTCGCATTAACGACACCACGCTCGTTCCGCTGCTGTCTTTGTTTTGGCTGCAATCTCAACCATACCCTTGGTCATCGGGAAGGCACTGCCTGAGCTAGTGCCATTCAGGCAATTTGACCATGTCAAAGTATAGACTTTCAAACGCCCTAAGTCCTGACCCCTATGGCCCTATGAAAGAACAAAACCTTCTGACTGATGTTCCCATGGCCATTGCTAAGTTTGGGGCACCAAGACTGGAAAGTATTGAAGCGATGTAGTTCTCCGGGCCTGGGAAGATGGAACCATCCGATGAGCCGGTTCGATGAGCCGTCCGACTTATGAGGCATCCCATGACATGCCAGGGGATGCCAAACCCAATGATCCAGACCTACTCTCATCAAAAGTGGTGTCTGGAAGGACAAAAATGTACATCGGTGCCTCTCTCAATCCAATTTCAAGCATCACTTCCGAGCACCTGACCCACAACCAAAGCCATGAGGCATGGTCCCAGTCACCTTCAGAAAGTGGCACTCTCAATCATAGTTGTGTTGGGTCACGTTTTGGAGCGTCAGGGCTTGACCTGAAGCACCTCTCACCGTTGTCCCACGCGGCCTGTCTGCTCATGGGCGATTTCTCCCAGAATCTGCGCCACCACGGCGCCCACACCCGCGCCCCGACCTGGCCCGAAGGATGTGGCCGTGAACGGAAGGGCACAACGAAGCGCACGGACGCGCTGCGCCGGTGACACGCACCGTGTCGGTAGGAGAATCCACCAGAGGTCACGAAGCCAATCAAAGATCGGATCGTCTCCACCTGGGGCGAACGGTGAGGGAGGCCAAGCCCTGTGGGTCGCCTGTCATGGGACTTCGACCGTGTTCACGTTGAAACGAGCCATGAGGTCTTTTGCTGACTTCTGGCACTAGAGTCTGAGGACGAACTGACGAGACGCTTCAATCCTTGTGCAAAACAAGCCCCAAATTCAAGCCAAGAGCTGTCCCGCCTTCGCTGCTTCCGGCTGCCGCCGGAGGCGTCCCAGCTTTTGGTTTCGGTGAAGCGGCTCCTACAGTCAGGCGCTTCCGCTCAGCTCAAAATGTCTGCGTGGACAACTGCTGTGGTCTCACACGTTTCATTCTAAAGGTGACACCGACCATAACGTTGGTAGCTGATCTGCCCACTGGCGACAACTTCAAGGCCTCGACCTTTCTAAAGAATTCGGATCATCAGATCAGTAAAAACTGATCTATGAGCCCCGTGACGTTTTCCAAAAATCCGCAGGCGCCTCTTTTTATCAACCCTCTGTGCCATACCCTCAGCACTTACGCCATCAGTAGTGGTGATGCTGAGCCTCCTGTGGCTGAAGCACCAAAGCGACCAGATCCTGCGGCTCCCAAAAGAAGTCGGTTCTGTTACTGTTGAACAAATTGCCCGTATGTTGTTTCTTGTGTACTTTTCGGATGCTTTTTGCTGTCTTATCCCGTATCTCGTGACTTTGCGGGCACCATTTCGTGAAGCCCCTCACCGAAAAACTTGAGGGAGGAAAAAAAACGATGGGTTTGCCCAGGAGAAGTTGACTTATGTTCTCGCGACTCCCGCAAGGGGCCTGGCTGCTTTCTGTTGCAAAGCTCCAAAATTACTTGAAGTCGTCTTTGTGCCCGAGCATTCCATCGAGAGTGAGATCTATATAAGTGAACCCAACACAATCAGAGAAAGGATGGTCCACCCCGGTTCAGAATTCTTCGCGCCCCTATATATTGTGAATCAAACACTGAACTTCCGCGGTTCAGACATTCTTTTCAACAATTGATGCCGTCCTTGAAGAATGGCGCGGCTCAAGCACATGCCCAGTGAACGATGCAAAGTGTGGAGCTCATCTTTGCTACACTTCACCGTGCCCTGAGAGGTTGCCTCAGTCCATGCGCTTTTGCATCTTTTACGGAGACGCTTTCGCTGAGAGGCTTTCCGCACTTCCGTTCACAGGAGAGAAACGTTGGGGAGAGAGGAACCCCGTGATCTCAGGAGCCCAGGTACAACATGCGCAATCCTCATGAGCGCCAAGACTTCCTCGGGCTCGAAGGGACAAGGATCTTCGTCCAATGCCGTGGCTAGCTCTTCCTGCACCAAACTGCGAAACAGCCCCGTTTAGACCCCACAGACCCCCACATCTGTTTTGTGAAATGCACCACCTGAACCCCAAGAGCCTTTCAAATGATCACATGCACCGGGTGGCTGGAGCCATAGTGGACTACAGTGACTCCAGATTACATGTGTCATGTCATGCCCTCCCAGCGGCATTTCACTGACATTTCGGCTTAATGATGCAAGCCGCTCCATGTCAAATGTATCCTGGCATGCCTGCAATGTATGAGATCACACCAATGCAAGTTTGGATGATGAGCCGGACTGTAAGCAAACACCACTTAGGTCGGTCCTGAAGGACATGTAGCTGCACGTTTGCTGGCGCAAAGCCGTGCGAGAGCCTCAAGCAAAACTAAGATCTTGCAGCTGTAGTGTCTTTACAAGCAATTCCGACCTCTCCTCGTCTCTTGCGCAACCCCAACAACCGGCCGCCCCTGACCCATTTTCAGATGACCCATGGTGGGGCCAATTTGTGGAGATCTCCAAGACCGCTGCAGTCATGGAACAATTTGACGAGCACAGGTGCCCAGGAGGCCGCTGGCCGCCGTGCCCTTTGAAGAGCGTGGCAGTGTGAATACCTGTGACGATTGACAAGCAGCAGTGGCAGTTTCGAAAAGACCCCCTGCCTGTTACGGTAAAGGCTTGAGATGTTGCAAGAACATGTGCAAGAATTTTTGTATCGATCTTGGGCCAGGCTGCTGGATATAGAAGTACAGACGCGCAGATGCCGGCAGGGTGGGTAATGGCCTGGGGGCTCCTGGAGGTGCCAGGGCGCCCAGCAACGCGGGAGAGGGGCAATCATCAAAGGACTCTTCCAAGTTCGCAGGTGCTAAGGCAGAGAGCAATGCCGCCATGTTCTCTCTCCCCATCTCATCGCAGAAGTCGGAGATCTCCGCCGCACCGCGTTCGGCCACCTGGTCCGCCTCTGGCCGGCGCTTGGGCTTCGGCATGCCCACCACCGCCCAGCAGGCCCAACTCAAGGCCCCCAACAGGTCGCTTTCTTGGTGCAAAAGACGTGCACGACGCCAGCAGTGTTGACGCCCCAGCTCACTGAGCTCGAGATCTTCCAGCAAGGCTAGCACTTCCCAAAGGAGCTGCTCATCTTCCACTGCACTGCCACAATATTTGTCCGCCAAAGTCTCTAAGAATTCTCTAGTGGAGGGCCCACCTGCACGCAAATAATTCAAAGCAAAGCCCCACAAACGAGGTGTGCCCCGGCTCAAATCCTCCGCATAGGCCATCAAATGCTGATCCCGGATGGGCATCTGCCCCTCAGGTGTCTCAGCAGAGACTGGCAGCCGACCAGCATAGTAGAGCAAATCGACCACATGAACCTGAAAAAAGCTGGGAAAATTCTCCGGCATTGATGACAACAACTCCAACAGGCTGGGCACATTGGAGGTCAGTGACGCCATGAAAACGAGATCCACTTGATCAACCTTGTCTTCTTGGCGCCTTCGAGTCACTGCCTGTAGCAACTCACCCAGCTCAGATCGTCTTAGGTCTGGAAACACCCAGGCATGCGTGAAGACAAAGTCTTCGATCCAGGTGCGGCTGAATTTCCAGGCCACATCCTTGTTGGCCTCAAACTCCGCTTGGCTGCACCCACCATAAACACTGATCAGCGGGTGTAGCGGATGTGACTCGGAGACCTGCAGCTTCCGCGCCTCGCCTTGCATCTCTGCGATGACTTGGCGGAACTCCACCGCCGTGGCACCCGCTTGCTCCATCTGTCGCATGGATGGGATCTGGGAAAGAAAATCACAAAACTGCTGAATTTGCCTCGGCAGACAAGTGCATCACAGCCTGGTGAAGCCGAACATCACAAAACACGGAAATGTTCAATCTGATAGCGTTCATGCAGCCTGCCCCCAAAAAGCATCTGCCCCCCAGTACAGTGGTCAGTAGTTCCTCCAAGCTTGTGAAAAATTCCCGCTGAGGCAAGACTGACACATACACATACCTTCTGCTTGGGATGGCCATCTTCTCATTGCCAAGTCGCTGATCCTCATGAGCCACAAGCTCCAGGAGCTCTTGAACCTCAGCCTTGTAGTCCGCCAAGGCCAGTCGACAAACGGCAGGCCAAAAGGCGGAGTCCTCCACTGGCCCGATTGGTCAGGCTAAAGAGCCATCTTAGCTAGAGTCAGAGGTTCGTCTGCTTGGGCCTGCTTGTCTATGCAAATGGTGTCCAAGAATCTATATATTCTCTTTGACTCTTGACTCTCTTGACTGTTGGGAGCATCTTGCTGGCTATTCAGTTTGAAAATCTCCATCCCCTGAGTGTGTATACCTCACAATATGTGATAGACGCTTAAAATCCAACACAAGCTGAATATCTTTGCCGTATTCTGCTGCTTGGTGTCATCACCGTCCTTGTTGAAGACGTCCTCGGAAGCATCCTGCGCTTCCCGAAACCAATCGGAGACATCCTCCTCGCCTGATCGACTGGGTAATGTGTGCAGCGACGTGACTAGCAGCAAAGAGCAGAGAACCATTTACCATGTATGAGCCTCGCTAGTCACTAGCCACTAGCAGCTAGTCACTAGTCACTAGTGTGGGAAATACCAATGGCATTGCCTGGAACACGTTGGGAGCAGCCCTTCTGTCCCGTCTGCATGACACAAAGACATGTCCAAGAACAGCCGCGGACACCATCAAAAATCATAAAAACAAGACCCACGACCAAGCCCATCAGCTTCTCCAGAGGCTCGCCTTCCAGGTAGTGCCGGCTGTACCACCGCAGCAGGCCGGGCGCCACCGCTGACGGATTCAGCATGGCTTCCGTAATCAGTTCGACGACAGCCAGGCAGAAGGAGAGCTGCTCCTCGGGCTGCCCCGGTCGATTCGCAGGTAGGGTGTCACCCGCGGAGACGAGCGTTCACCCATCTGTGGAACGTTGGACACTGAGTCGGACCCCGATTCTGAAGCATGCAGAGTCTTGGTCACTCAATGTGCGGTATGAAACTGCAACTGGCGCCAGAACACCAGGAATTACATCTGATCCGGGTGTAAAGGCCGGACCCCTATTCACTGCCGAGCCTCATCCCTGGCATTCTCCGCTCGCCCCGCCCTTCGAAGCTTCTCACGGGCCCGGTTCAACTCCACGGCAATGCCTGCGGCATAGTCCAAGAGCATCTCCTGCACGTAGGTCGTGTCCTCGGCAGTAGGAGTCGAGGTCGTGCTCGACTCACGATCAAAACATATCAAATCTGCCATGCACAAACAGCTACCCACACCGAGCTTCAACAGGGACACGCATCAATTCCACCTGCTCATGGATGGCTTTTGCTTTCACCTCAGTTCCAGAAAAACGCTGCTGTCAGTCGACCAACCACCTTCTACCAGCTCCATCAAGCTGAAGAGCTACATCTGGATCGCCTACAGTACATTCGTTCTTCGTAGAGCCAAAGCACCTGGAAGGCACTGAACTGATGCAAGAGCCGCTCGCAGAGCTCCACGGGCGGCACCCCGACGGCCCCGGAGCCCGGCGCCTCAGCGAGATCAGGGCTGGGCACCACACTAAAGCGAGTGAGTCAGGTGTCATACATGGTCACACCCATTGCGCTCGTTTTTGGACCAGAGGCCGCCGAGGCACCGAGCTCGGCGGAGCTGGGGTCGGCATGCTTGGCTGGTCGGAACTGGGGAACGTGACCGGGAGTGACTGGGTCTGGCGACGTGTCGGAAGCTGTTCCAAGGTGAGTTCGGAGGTGGCTGCTTGTTTTACTGAGGGATGGCTGAAGAAGCCAAGCTCCTCTGGCTAGTGTTTACCCGTTTTTTTTGTGTGTCATGATGCCCTCATGCATGGCCTTGGGGCGACAATTGAATGACTACCTATGGGCCCTTGAAAGTCCAAGCACACGGAAGTTCCTCTGCTCAGTTGACAAACCGCCATGAAACTGCTAGAAACATAATTCACAAGCCCTTGAAGGCCTAAGCTGACAAAAGCTCGCATGCTCTCAGTGGATGTGACAAAAGCTGAGACTGACCTCAGTCAGGTCTTGTGGATTTGAACATGTCACTCCTCCAGCGTAGGGGTCTCCGTCACTGGTGCAGGGCAGCTGACCGTCACGAGATGTCCTGACATCGTGGCTGGCAGTCACGAATCTCCCTGCACGGGATTTCCTCGTCCATGTCCGAAAGGACCAGAACCTGAAGACCCCTACAACAGTGGTTACAGTGTTTAAAAATGTTTAAAGAGTCAAAGATGGAGCAACCATAGTCACCGCATCCCGCGCTTCAAGAAACCGAAGCAGCATGATCCTTTTGATCCAGGCTTTTGCGCGACTTTCTTGCAACTTTTGTCAGAGTTCATCTGTCTCACCAAAGCTATTTAAGCAGCTATTTACAAATCCTCGGAAAACAATTGCAAGACAGCTCAGAATTTGAGTTTCAACTCAATCTTCTTCTGTGCCAGAGGGGTTCCTCTGGGGATACTTCCTGTGGCCTCGGTGCGGCCTGCCGTAACATGTGCCCGAAGCAGCTCCTGCACCGTTCGTTGGCTCTCTGCTGGCAGTCGCTGGACCTCATTCTTCAGGCCGCCTTGGTCTATCTGGGCAACCTGCATCAGGCAACGTGCCATTGATGTCTTTTGGACAGACTCAAGCTTGGCAGATGCCAAGGCACATACCAACTGTAAGACCAGCTGCAGGGTGACTATTTTCGCCTCCTGTACTTGTAGCAGAGTGGGGAAGATGCCCCATGCCTGCTCCATGGCCAGAGGCTGCATCTTCGGAGGCTCCATAGCAATCGCCGCCACCAAGCCCGGCACGATGACACTGCAAAGGTCAGAACAGGCAGGCTGTTGGAGAAGGCTTTGAGCAGATGAGATCGCCACCTGCGCCACTTTCGGATTGGGATGTTGCCACGCCAGCTCGAACAGTCCCTGCATCCGCTCCAGGCATTTCTGCACCAAGGACTGTTCAGAGTCCAAGGACTGAACTTCCTCCCCTGCCTGCTCCTCTCTAGATGCTTTTGACAACATCGCCATGGCAGAGATGGCAGGCACCAGCATGGCAAACGCATAGACCAACACACGCTCGGCCTCTGGCAAGTGAGCTGAGTCCATTTTATCGATGACAGAAGCACACAGCTTATTGGAAATGAGGGCCAGGTAGAGGAGTTGCCTACTGGCCTGTGAGGAGCCACCTCCGCTGGGTGTGGTGGAGAGCATGCAGCAGACCTGCTTCCAATGTTTCAAGGTCAAGGATGGATGGCTTTGGACTAAGGACTCTGGGAATGGCGAAAGAAGAAGCCAAAGCCATGGACAAGTCTCTCCAACCACCAGATCTTCCTCCGTCTCCTCTGCCAAAGCTTGTGCCATGAGATCATCCTCCAAATCTTCTGTGGTGTCCGGACTGTTGGGCAACGCCTCCTGGAGCCACCACTGGAAGACCTCCAGTGTCATGGCCAAATGCTTTTCGGAGACATCCGATTTGCGCATAGTGGCTGCGACCACGTGCAGCGCATATCCACCAAGCATTGAACGGCTCGACTGGCCTTCCGGATCATCACTGCATAATCCCTCTAGCCAAGGAGTGTCCACAGCGCCAGACTTGTGCACGGCAGTCTTTCGGAAAAGCACCTCAGACACTCCATGCATGAGCTCCATCAAACTCATCAGCAAAGCCTCGCAGCGCGCAGCTCGGCAAAATATATCTTTCCACAAACAACCAAGTAAGTCCATGAAGGTGCTGAGGCTGACCGCCGCGTGCTCCTCAGTCTGCGAAGCGAGGATAACCTGGCGCACAGTGTCGACGAAGACCTGCAAATCCTCAATGGTGGCATCGGGCAACAGGGTCACGACAACACCCAAGGACAGGGAGGCCAGTTCTTGGCTGAGCACCCATGATTTGGGCCCGAGGGCGGTGGGTGACGACCTCTTGGCGGGGAGTGACATGTCGGTGCACATGGCACAAACCCCCCGTAGCAAGGATGGAACAGCATCTCGAAAGTAGGGCTGCACAGTCTTGTAGTCAGCAAAGTTGAAGCAAGCAGGCTGATAGCTCTTCACACTTTGCAGTGGCAAGCCCGCCAGCAGCACTGCGGCGTCACGCAGCGCGTACTCAATCCACCTGCTCAAATGCTTGGAGTAGGCAGCTACTGCAGCCTGCTCTTGCGACTGCCCGGAGTCCAGCACTGCACATGCGCAACGAAGTCGAAACAGGAAGGAACCTTGTGGACGGACGGTGGCGATTCTTTTCATTCGTTTTGAACGGCACTGAGGTTGATGAACAAGTTCCAAGTGATTGAACAAATGAATGAATAGGCTCCTTCAAGGAAAGAACCAATTATATACATATAATTGTAGCAGGGGATTTTTTATATACACAATTATATATATATATGTAAAAGCAGTGTCACCAGGACGAGCCGTTCCTTCAGGCACCTTTGGTTCGAGGCCGAACAGCGGAGAAAAGTGGCCGCACGGTTTGGAAGGGTAGGATCCCTTAGGACTGGGCCGATCGGCCCGTGTTTTCACATTGGTAGCGGAGCCCCTGCCCACAGGGGCAGGGGTATCCAGGTAGAGCGGTCTTAGGTTAGACGGTGAAGCTCAAAAGCAGTGTCACTTTTGTGCCATGGCATCTTCAAGTGATGGTTCAGCTGGCATGAAACGGTTCAGCGGTGAAAGTCTGGACCCCAAAGAGTATCGTCGCTGGAGGTTGTGGGCTCTGGCCAAACTGGCCTCCATGAAGGATATGCAACCGGGACAACGAGGCCCCTTCATTTTCTGTTTGCTTGACGGATTGGCCCTGGAGACAGTTGAACACCTCACGCTTGACAAGATGCGCGAGGAGAACGGAGATAAACATATCTGGGCTGCCCTTGATGAACGCTTCCCTGACAAATTGGCTCATGACCATTTGGCTGAGTGTCTCAAGGAGGTTTTCGAATTGCAAGCAGTTGAGGGGGAAAGCATTGCTGCCTGGTGCTCCCGAGTGCAGGAGGCCTTCTCCAAGTGCCGCCGTAAGGTCGCTGTGGATTTCCCGTCGGAAGCCAGGGGTTGGGTGTGTCTCAACTCTTCTGGTTTGTCGTCCGATCAACGTGCCATCGTGACGGCAAAAACACAGGGAGATCTGAAGCTGGAAACAGTGGTGGCTGCGATGCGCAGTTGTTTCCCGGATTTTCGGGTGAGCAAGCGACCTACAAGAGGAGCCTACATTGTTCATCATGAAGAAGCAGAACCTATCCCACCGGAGACGGGGCCGGCTCCCGAGCCAGAAGGGCCCGATTCTGTTGTGTTTGATGAACTGGAAGCCTTTTTAGCAGAGCATGGAGTACAGGACAGTACAACAGCCAGTTCCGACATCTATGAGGAGGACGAAATTGCTGAAGTGTTGGCAGCAACATGGAAGGAGCGTCGATCTGAAATCTCGAAGCTTCAGAAGACACGGAAGTTCCAACAAGCCAACACGCTCAAGAAGCAGTTCTCCAGAGAGGTGACCGACCTTCAGAAACGTTCTCGCTGCCGCCGATGCAACCAGATCGGGCACTGGGCAAGAAATTGTCCCCAAGCAGCGAGCACCTCAGTCAAGGCAGACAAGGAGAAGGTCAACGGAGCCGCTGTTGTGACACATGAGGTTTTGCTTGTGTCCTCCCCAGGCTATGGAATCATTGACTCGGGCTGCAGTCGGACCCTTATCGGTCAGGAGACTCTGGGTGCTTTCCTACGCCTGTATCATGAGCGACACATGCAGTCACCCACTTCTCGCTCGGAGCAAAACCTGTTTCGTTTTGGCAACGGACAAGAGGAGCTGTCAGAGCGGGTGGTGTCAATGCCAGTGATCATCCACGGCCGCAGAGGCCGAATAGACGCTGCTGTCATCCGAGGCAGCGCTCCACTCCTCCTCAGTCGAAGCACGCTGAAGAGCCTCAGGGCTGTCCTCGACTTCTCGGAGGGAACCATTGCCATGCAGGGCGGGGAGCCCCATCCGCTACAGTTGAATGAAGCAGGTCAGTTCATTCTCAATCTCATGGACTCCGACGAGGCCTTGGTGGTGGAGCAGGAGCAAACATCTCCATCGAGTCCAGAACAGTGGCAGACTGGGCCCACTCGCTTGTGCACGACACGTGAGCAGCGATGTCTCCTGGCTCAACATCGAGCTTGGAACAAGACTGAAAGCACATGTGTGGTGGCCGAGCTGTTCTCACCGCCACGGTTCAGTGACTATGCTGCAAAACGGGGAGAGAAAGGGCTGTCCTACGACATCAAGCAGGGCTGGGATCTGTTGAAGACATCCGTACAGAAACAGGTCGATCAACAGCTGGAAGATGAGAAGCCCGAGCTCCTCGTGTGTTGTCCAGAATGCAAACATTGGGGGGGTTGGTACCGGCTCAACAAAACCCGACTTCCCTTGCTGGAACAACTGCAAAATGAGCGCATTGCCCAAAGACAAGCTGACTTTTGTATTCAACAGATCAAAAGGCAAATCAAACGTGGTGGTCGTGTGTTGGTGGAACACCCCTGGGCGAGTGACCTTTGGAAGTATCCACCCATGGCCAAGCTGCTGAAGTCAAATCAGCTTGTGGTGCACCGCGCCAACATGTGCGCATATGAGTTGAAGGACCCAGACAATGGTCAGCCGATCCTCAAGACAACCGGTCTTGCCGTCTCGCATCCCGACATGGCCTCTCTGGCCTTGCAGTGTCCAGGACCGGAACATCACAAAACACACCAGGTCATTGCCGGACATACACACACAGGCATGTGCCGTAGTAACCATTGTGCAGCATACACCAATGAGTTCGTAGCGACATGGATGTCTTGTGTTCGACCCCATTGGAACCTGTGTCTGTTCGCGTGTCTGCAGGAGAGTTTGTCAAGTGAGGGGCTGGAGCTGACGGATGAACAAAACCATGAAGTGTGTGCCGCGGCTCAAGTGCAAGACCCAGAGAAGGTAAAGACACTAGTGAAGAAGTTACACAACAATTTAGGACATCCTTCTACGAGAACTCTAGTTCGTGTTCTGAAGAATGCCGGGGGTTCTCCAGAGGCCTTGCAAGCCGCCGAGCATGTCGAAGGTGCGTGTGACATTTGCATCAATCGACAGAAGCCGACACCAGCCTTGCCAGTCAGTCCG